GAAAACGAATTTAAAATTCGAAATATCTCGAAAATAATATTCTAAAACAATCATATTAAAATTTGAAAAAAACTTTATACTATTGCTTGATTAGTACTATAAAAACAATAAACAATTCATAATAAATTTTCTATATTTGGTTGACAAAAAACATATTGAAGAGATAGGGAAAAAATTATGATTTTTTTTTCATGGAAAAGCTGACAAAATAGTAGAATCCAATGACAAAAATGTGACAAACTTGTCCACATTCGTCATCCTAATAGAAAAACACTGATATTTTCAACTGACTACAAATAGAAAGACTTCATTTTCTTTTTTTCTCCTATTTTTATCAGGTAATTTTCGGATCTAAATGATTAATCTGTTAGAATGAAAGGATCTATTAATAATTCAATTTTTTATTTGAAACAATTCTTAACTTCAATAATTCTTTTTTTTCCATGCAACACATAAATGACGTTATTAACTGTGTAATTTATTTGCCTCATTTTCTGGAAAACATTTATTTAATTCTTCAGCAATATGCGTATCTTATCCGTAAGATAAATTTTAAAAAAATATGCAAAAAAAGTTTTTAACATATTTTAAATAAATGAGGTTTTATTTTTATGAATCAAATTTAAATTGTTACAATTGTAAAATGCCCTAATAAAAGTAAAAAGCGAAGGNCTTATAAGAATATAATTAATTCATCGAAGTTGTAAAATATCAATCTTTAAGAATGAAACAAGAAATATTATTAAAATTATCTTTATTGCATTCTGAAAAAAGACCCGAGGACATTATATTCTGAAATGAATATCGAAAGTGAAATATTCACTTCAGGATCGAATGCTGACCATTGAAGATTGCTGCATCTCATTTAAGATATAATATTAATATAAACATATTCATATATTACATTTCTGTGAAGGGTTTTGTTTCACCAACTACAGTACCAAGCTTAATGTAGAATGTTCAATTTCACCTATATTGATAGTTGTATTGAAAAATTTTAGAAGAAATATCATCTACAAATATATTTCCCGTTATAAATACATGCAAACAATATGCTGGACTTGTTTTCTCATTAGAAATTCAAAACAATTTCAGTAAAATGCAAAGAAAGCGAAGTTAATCAAGACCGAAATATGTAAACAAGAAAAATGTATGTTACCAAATAATACCAAATCCACTATATTGACTGATTCGAGTATATTCAATGTGATCGCTGATTACATTAAACTTTACAAGATCGGATAAAAATGTGATGTATATATATCAATATATATATAAGCCTATAGAATATATAGAAATAATAATGCATTCAATTTTTACTATTTTTGTCTCTAAATACAGGAAAAAAAGTCGAACAATTGACTTTAGTTTTTGTAATTTTAGAAGGAATAAAAATTCATTAAAATTTTTTCTGTTGTTGTTGTTGTTGTTGTAAAAAGTATTTTTATGATAAAAATAATTCCACGTGGATCAATCGAGTGGATCAATGTACCCAATCTTTTGTTGTAAGAAACTTGCGCAAGATCAATATATGAATGCTTCTTATATCTATTATTTTTTATGTATATTGATGTCACACATGGTCAAAATGTCATTTATATTTTGATTATTCGTTTATTATCGATATGAGTATTATATGAAGGAGCAGGGTTATGGACTGCAGCGAACACAAATATACCGGATATTACATTGCCATGACGTGAATTCCATTCACTTGCTATCTGGAACTAGCACACAATGCGGAGGATGCCGCTTAGCGATTTGAGTGGTGCAACATGATGTTAACTTTACAACATGACAAATCACAACGCCTTTAGCTCACTTTATGGACTGACAAGATACTGTTTTCCCGGAAGGAATATGTAATTGTTATAATGTGCGTCACTAAACACAGCGTGCTTCATGATGCACGCGACATATGCCACACGAAGTGCGTTTTTCGTAAACATCTAGTATTTGGAATAAGCAGCTTCTTAGTCTCGTGTTTATTGATAGCATAAGGACCTGAATAATGACCGATATTTGAACATTCTAAACACGACGGTAAACGAATGGCTTAATGACTTGGCGCCATTGTTGCAACTACAGCATGTTTGGTACCAGCACATATGCACTCATTTGTGCGATGCTGGAAAGAACTCTTTTGACCTCTTTTGACCTATAGATGTTCATTTAAACCTTCTGTTTAAATGAACATCTATATTTTAAAGAAATTTTAAATAATAATTTACGTTAAATTCGTTTTATAAAAATTAAGTTATTTTCCTCACTTACAGAAAGTTCCAATAGACTATCTAATTATTTATTACATATATATATATAAGTGGCTCAAAAACCAGTAAACAGTTTTAAGTATTCCAAGTACGTTTGTGAATAAAAGTTATAAATAGTGTTTAGAACATTTGTAGAAACATAATAGTGGGTCAGTTAGAAATATGTTTATTAAAAAATATCAGCTTTTGAACCATTCATACGTCAGCAAAGAGAGCAATTCTAACTTTACAATGACTAAGTGATTTTTGACTCACCCTGTATATAGTCTTATTTAATAACAATTATTTAAAGATTTGTAAGTCAAAAGGTACTACATAATCTTATTTGGGCTGCAATTTTAAAAAACTGTAGACCTATAAATTTCCACTGTCGTCCGTTTGCCTTTCCTTAATCTCGAGAAAGGTGTTAGATAAATTAAATTTAACACCAGATATGGAAAGATTAGGGGACAGAAGACTCCGATTAACTATATATGAACTTCCGATGCAAACCGAAAGTCACGATATTTCAATTCAAAAATCTTTCCCTGAAAGGTGTTAGATAGATGATCGGCATGACTCTATTGTTAAATGATAAGTATGATGTACAGGGGCAAATCACTACTAATTTGAGGTGGAAAGCATATACTTTAAGTTAAATAAATTTAATATATGATTAAAAATTGCAGCCTGGCATTGCGACGATGTCACAATAAATAATTGCTGGTTCTCAATATATATATATACAGTAATAATAGAGTAGATATATTATATAGATTATTTGAATAATATTCATTTAGCTGAATTTATTTTATATCATTAAAAACGTTTCTATCTTCGATGAGTTTATCAGCTGCATTATTAATTTTCATTTTGTATTTTAATTNTTGTATACTGAAATAATTATTCTTTCCTTTGTCAGAATGCATTATTGTTCGGTGAGACTATTTATTAATAATTTCAACTATTTCTATTAACAATAGAAATAGTTGAAATTATTAAACAATTTTCGAAGGTCAGTGAACTAATTATTTTATTTATCTGTCAATTCTTCTCTTATTTCGAAAGTCATTTTATATATTTCTTTGTTAGTTTTATTAAATTTTAATTGATTTAGAAATGAATGCTCTTTGTTATATATGGATTACGTTTCTGCCTTACTTCTAATTTGAATTAATTCTAAACATATTTGAAATTATTATATTAAATAATTTAAAGTGATTTACAAAATTGGCTGATTTCAATTAAATTAAATGAATATGAATAGAGAAAACAGAAAAATATATACTATGAAATTGAAGTTTCTAATTTTATGCTATTAAGATATAATTATTTTGAATTTTTTTATTTATTAGATTATCTGTTTTAATTTGTTTATTTTGTTCTATAAAACTTCTTTTTGCTATAATTATTTTCAATGCAATCACATAGAGTAATCTTAGCTTAGAAATTTGCATCTGTGTAGAAACGCATCGCTAGTATAAAATTACTCAAACGAATAACCAATTTGAATTTATAAACTATTAAATGGATAATAAATCAGTTAAATTATTTTATTGTTCAAATTATATTGATCCATTTTACGATTAATAAACTAAGTGAAATGAAAACTAATCTAACATTGTAATGGCTGATCGATTTCCCTTATAATGCATACAATATGTAGAGAAAGTTTAATCAACTTAAATAGAAATTTTCCTCTTTTTTTTTGTATGAATGAACTACAAATTTTAAATATTCTCTATTAAATAGAATTTTCGTATTTATCATCTTTATTTAAGATTTTAAAAATCAATATATGACCAAGAAATTAAATATTTTTCTCGATTTGTTTGCATAGAATTGAGAGAAACAGTTAAATAATTTAAAATCTTTTATTAATTTATATTTCTTATTTGTTTTACTTATTATTTTATAATANTGTATTAAACTTAAAATATTCGATATCTAAACCAGAAAGTGTTAGCTAGAAATAGACTTATTTATAGAACAACCCCCCATTTCTCACTTCAGGGAAAGTTATAAAACTGTTTTATCCACTTGGTCACTATTGCTCTCTCGAACAAGTGAAATACGTAGAATGCTTCCTTATTAATGAATAGCAGTCTTGAATAGTTTTTTTTTTTCTAGTAAAAGTAATATTACTTTATAGAAGGTAGAAACTTAAGAGACCCGTAAGTTTTCTCCGGGACCGGGAAAAAATACCTAACTCTCCTCTCTTGAGTCTCTACATCCTGGAAATCATACCTCATTGCTTATGCAAATATATCCCGATACATTTTCTCACGAAATTACTATGACATAATACTTCTAAATAATAAATTTCTAGAACATATATATTAATCCTTCAATTGCTGACATCAACTCGAGATATCATCAAATCCCATCAGGATTACATTAACATCAAATAAAATGAAATTGCCCACGTAACGATAAATAATATTAAATCACAAAAAATCACGATGTAGGATTCGAATTATGTTCGTCAATCCTTAAATTTTAATATGCTTATCGATAATTCGGTCATCCACAAAAGACTGAAACTTCTAAATATATATTAATCAACAAAGACATCGACTTTAATAATAATCAGATACTTATTTATATACACAATCTGTCGCAAGTTTTATAATAGTAAAAGCATTTAAACAATACACTCCAACTGTATAAACGTAATAGAAAAAAACAATACAAATTTTTAAATATTCAAATCTGGCAATTGCTGTTTCTGTTAACCAATAAGAAAAGTTTGAACGGAGCATGCGCACTAGATTGTCGATTTAGACTGTCTTTTCGAAAGTAGGAAAAATAATTTAAGTTTTAAGTTGTGAAAATGGAAGAATATTTGGACAGTTTGGGATATTTTAAAAAACAAGTAGCAAGAGATGGATCATGTCTCTTTAGAGCTGTTTCCGAGCAGGTAGGAAAAATTATTATTATTATTATTATTTTACACGGCATTAATAATTAAAAGCGGTCTAATTTGAATACAATTTTAAAATTCTTAAAAATTTATTTGAATCTCGAGTTTAAGTCATTTTAAGTGTATAAATACGAATTTAAATGTTTGAATTCTTACCGTATTGAAATTAATTTGAAAGTTGTTGAAATTGAGCATTAAATCAAGAACATTTTAATTGTTACGTTTTGTTAAAATGGCGAATTAATTACTGAGTAAGGAATGTGCCGCTGTTACGTCATTTTGGCTAACTCATTTGCATAAAATCTTGTCGGCTTCGGCGTGTTCGTAATTACGTGGAGGAATTGAAATTGGTTAAGAAATTCATTCTTGATTTTAGAATCGTATGAATATTTATTCGTAATTTTAATATAAAGAATCAATTCGGCAAAAATTTTGAATGTTAAATCTTTTAATAAATTGGATTGGAGTAAAGTTAATACGCAATTCGTGAATTTCAGTTCTTAAAAATAAGTTTCGTAAGTTATAATATTTGCTATATTCGTTGAATACACACGAAGTATTCAAATATTCGTGAATGAAATTGAGAATGAAATACAGTAGGGCGTCGTTTATCCGAATCAATTGGGGACTGGGGTTGTTCAGATAACTTATTTTTCGGATAACCAATTACGTACGAAAAAATATATTAATTTATCCCGTGTTGAAATTTTTCTCCGTTGCGTGTCGCTTCGCGTTAAATTTTCGTCGATGTTAAGCCTAACGAAGACTATTGTATCGTTAAAAATTATTTTTTTATTTTGTACAAACAAAGTAAATATATTGAAAAATATAAAAACAATAAAAAATTATACTTCAGAAGTTAATTTAGTATCAAAAACGTAAAATATTTGAGTAGCCGAAGACATAGCCAAAGATTACAGCGCCACAGCACTGGCGAAAATTTAAATTTGTCGACTGGAATTCCTTCGGATAAACGACGCTCTACTGTAATCGTTTTCATTTAGGTGTAAAATTGTAGCTGTGAATCGGGCTGTTTTTTACTCTTATGAACAAGGGTCTATCTATGCCCATAAAAGTAAAAAAGAGACGTGAAAGGAACCGATGGTTTAAGTGTGAACCTTAGAAATATATAATAACTTTCGACTCTCAGCAGGGGGAAGACGAACGAGACAAGCTGGGAGGACGACATAAGTTTTTAGAAATTGAGAAAAGACCTATTTTGTATAACATGGCTGTAAGAGAGAAAAGGCTTGAAGAGAAGTTCGAAACTACAACTCACGATCGCATTTACCACAACTTGCAATATGAACGAAATTAGCTTCGTTTGCTCTTTGCTTTCGTGCCCTTTGCGTATAAGTACGATTTTAATGGAGTGCTCAGCGCTCCGGAAGTATTCGGTACAACAGCGTTTCTCGTGTTAGCAGTTTTCTCTAGTATAGTGGACAGTTGGTTTTTAGCATTGTTTTGAAAAATATTTTTTCACTTTTATATTTTTGCTGTGAAGATTTCATTTTTGAGTGTTCAAATTCCAAATATAGCCTATCTCGTGAAGGGTTATACGTTCCATTTACTTTTTTTTTTACTCTATTGGCATGGTCCATAGCTCTGATAAGGCTGAATTTATGCAGAAAACAAAGCGAATTAGGTACTTTAAGGACCTACAGGAGTACTTTGTTTCTCTCTGGTTGTGTTCATGCAAAAGTGGGAAGGAAAAGTCTGGTGAATTTTATGTCGAAAAAATAACACCCAAGATTTTTATATTCTTGGATTTAGGACCTTGAAACGTCGAGAAATGGAAATACAGTGGTGCCTCGTATAACGTACAGTACTTAATCCGTTCGTATAACGGACTTTTCACTTAACGGACCGTTAAGTGAAAAGTCCGTTATACGAAACTCATTTTCCCATAGAAATACATGTTAAAACATATAATTCGTTCCGCAGCATAAAATAACCGTACTGTACTATAAAAAATGAAAATGGAGCAGACANTAATTCGTTCCGCAGCATAAAATAACCGTACTGTACTATAAAAAATAAAAATGGAGCAGTCACCAATTATGCCGGGTAGTCAGATGATGTGAGGAGGAGGTGGAGGAACACTTTCTTCACTTTCTTCACACATTCATACAGATAGACTTTTTACACATTGCAGCAGGTCTCTTTTTATTGTTTTTTAATCGGTGTCAGATTCAGGAGAGGCTACCAGAGCTTGCAGGGTCAACTCCTCTTGTTCCATCCTTTGCTATTTGGCAGCTGGCTTCTTGAAAATCATGTCCAGGGTGGTCTGTTTCTCTTTTTCAACACCTGTCGGAAATGACCGGCAAGGGTGTCATTGTAAAGATCCTGTTGGCCTCAGCTCTGGATAATGAATGTTGGTAAACTCCTGAACCTCTCCCCATTTGACAAGGAAGTTTTTGTCAACTTTCACTCCTGATGATTTCTTGCTTTCTTTCAATTGAAATCACCTTTGTTTTTTTTGGAAGCCATAATTTGCACAACACTTGAATAAATGTAAATACCCTACACTGAGGTGATGTACTGTAACGTAATAAACAAGGGAGCAAGCCGAATCCCAACGGGAGCTCTGTACTTCAGATACACTAATAATATATTCTAATAATACTAATATATTATAAAAATAGCAGATTGTCATTGGCAACAGCAAAAGAGTGGAAACATAATTCGCACTTGTTCACAGAAAGGCAGTTGTTCGCCTCACGTAACTGCCGAACGGAAAGTCCGTTGTTCGAAGCCAGTCCGTTGCTGGAGTCACGTAACGGCCAAACAGAAAGAAAGTCCGTTATTCGAGGCGTACGTAATACGAGGCACCACTGTATTCAGGGTTTTTTCTACGTGTATGGATGTTAGTGCTTGGGGATACGATTTTGTTCACCCACGTTGAAGCCTAATAACTCGTGCTTTTCGTCGAAATTTTCTGAAATTTTGCAGGGAGATTTGTGTATTAAGAGGATCTATGCCATCCTTTCTCAAAGTGGGCTATAATGCTCCCTTGTGGGCGCTGGAGGCTTTCAGGGGGCAGTAGAAGGCTCGGTGATTAAATGAGTTGTATTTCTTCTCATTGAAACATTCTTTGATCTCAGAAATAGGATATGGGTCACACCCTATCTATCCTATCCATATAATAATGCATATTCAAACATTATATTTGCAATAACTGTTTTTAAGATGTGCAACAGATGGTAATGTAAAAAGGCAAGTTAAAAAATATGGGACATTAGATTTTTTATTTCGACCACCGCCCACTTTCAGATTATAAGTTTGAGAACATGCGATCTATGCTATTAAATTTTGGTGTTAAAGTTCGATGGGTGGGAAGATAGAAGGGGTCGTGTCATATCTCGAGTAGGGTCGGACTTAATGACGATTTTACTCGTTATTAGCATTTAGTTTTTCTTATAAAACCTACCCCTACTCTCAAGATTAATCTTTTTGCCATTTTTTTTTCTTTATAATAATGATACGAGATTTTATTTTTAAAGTTTTATAACAGATAGGGCTACATAAATTTTAACTTCTTTTGCAGGAAAATTACGCAACTTATTGCTGTATTTTTATTACGTTATAAATTGATTTGATAACATTACTTGGTTTTTGAGGTCTTATTCTAAACTAGTAGTCCGGGACGCCCCCTAGTGGGCGTTATTTACAAATTTCCATGAGGCACGGTTCCTTTGACTTTTTTGTTCCTATCAGTATGCTGTACAGTTCCGTTAAAGTCCCAATGGTAAGATTTACCCTCCGAATGAAGGGGTGGCAACCCTCCAAAATGTAGCCCCTCTGTGCGAACAATAAAGTCAAAGGAACCATACCCCTACTCTTTTTCTTTCTTTCTTCTTCTTCGATGGTGTTTATATGGAGATTTTAGCTCAATGTAGGCTCTTTCTCCGAGTAGACTTGTGTATGATCGCTAGGCGACCGATTAGCCGGCTGTATCGAACAGCCATACGTACGCGCGGGAAATAAATGCCTTCCGGGAGGACTTTTATGGGGAACTGGCCTCCTATTCAGTCGTTATAGGCAAGGAGAAAACCCGGAAAACTCCAAGCAGCCAGCCTGTCCGACCGTGGCGCGAACCCACGACGAACCTCCCAGTCTTTAGGGTCTGGTCACCACTACGATGAGCGGCAACGGAGACCACTCGCCCACTGGTGGGGGCAACCATACCCCTACTCGTGACCCTTCGCGAGATATAAGCCCGTGAAAATTAGCCTACGTCATTTCCGGTCACGTGACATCGTGGTCAAAAGGGAGACTACCGCGCGAAAAAAAATTTACGCGCGCTCGTCCACACTCGGGAGGTCGCCGACCCGCTCATTCGCAGGGTAAATTCTGGCAAACAGGCGGTCACGTGACCCCGTAGAATAATTTTCGGAGGGCTATATCTCGGGAAGGGTTGCGCGTACGGGGATGGTTCATTAGACATTTATTGTTCGCACAGAGGAGGGTCGCCATTCCCTTTATTCGGAGGGTAAATCTTAACGTCCCAATCGCGTCATACGGATCTATATTTCTATCTATTAAACATTCTATAAATACTTTAAAATAGTTTAATTAGTTTATTTACCTTCGCTTGTAAACCTCGATTTTACCTTATATTACTTTAACTATTTCAAACCTTATCGTCTTACGTAGTGATTCAAACCTATCCGGTTTTTCGTTACTCGTCCCCTAGTTAACATTACATGCATTCCGTGACAATAATAAATTCCTATTACAAATATAATGAATTATTTATATTGTTATATTGACCAAATAATAATTTATTGGCCAAATGAATAATAATAATTCATATTGTTAATTTAAATAAGAATTAAAATTGTTAATTTGAATATTTGAAATATGACACACGATAGGGGCGCCTCTAGTGTCCGTTATCAAACGGTTACGGGACGGACACCCGTTGAATGGATTATATATATAGATACTAGTGATGTGCCGGATCGTTAAAAATGTATATCCGCGGATACGGATCT